GACCCTGTGCGATCTAATGGTCTACTGGAGGTAATTGGCAGTAGGCGGTCTCTCAAGTACCCAGGTCCAATACCATGAAGGGCTTTATAAGTGATAACTAGCACCTTGAAGCGTATCCGGAGACCGATTGGAAGCCAGTGCAGCTTGCGGAGGATAGGTGTAACGTGGGTGTATCGAGGTACACCCACAATCGCTCGCGCGGCTGCATTCTGGACAAGTTGAAGTCTCCGAATGCTCTTCAAGGGCTGCCCCATGTAGAGCGCATTGCAGTAGTCTCTTGTGAAAAACAATATTTACTGTATATTGAAAAGCAGATATCAAATCTATGCAACTATTCTGTCAGGCTAACAATTGGGACACCTTTTCCCCAATAATGCAAGAATGCAGATGAATAAGGGACTTATTTCTTGTTAATTCTATATAATATGATCTTAGTTCCCAAACATCAAGGTTTTCAAATGATTTCTTTGCTTATTTTTTGGTTTACTGAGAAACAATATGTATGATAGAGCCAAACATTTTGACAATAAATGTTTCCCTGGATATTTGAGAGAAATAATAGATGACTGAAACAAATAAATACCTACAGCTAAAGGAAATAATTAAATTTAATGTAAGTTTATCTCAAGAAGAATTAAAACTCACCAGTGAATCTTTTCTCCATACTAGGCTCATATTGATAACCAGTTTGGGTACTGATTAAGGACCCAGGTTAGAAACCAGGAGGCACAAAGCCAGCTGGGTCACCTTGGGCCAGTCACTTTCTCTCAACCCTAGGCAATGGCAAACTATTTCTTAAAATGCTGACCAAGAAAACCATAGGGAATATTCCAGGCAGGTTCTGAGAACTGGACACAATTGAACAGAAGGGGGGAGAGGAAGGATCACATTTCTTACCTGTCTAAGTTTACTCTGGGCTGGTGAGAAATGAGCGCAGGTGTGTGAAGTACCATTTCCCCATTGCATGGAGTTTCTGTCATACATTGGACCTGAGAACCCATTACAGGGCTTAATGGAGATGTAGGGCTGCTCACTGGTAGAAGGAAAACAAAATGGTTTGTAAAACCGTATTTATTTAATGTAGCAGAATGGAGAACGTAAGACTGCATAGAGAAACATAGCTTCTCAAAACTCTGTTCCCCTCTATGTCACCTTCCCTACGTACTGTATTTTTTGGACTATAAGACACACTGGAGTATGTACCAAGATTTGGAAGAGGTAAATTTTAAAAAAAGTTTTTTCACTCTGCAGACCTCCCAAACCCTCTGCATGTCTCATTTTTTGTGAAAAACGGGGCATGCAGTGAGTTTGAGAGGCGCTGGAGGTGATGGGGCAAAGCAAGCAAAATACGGCCCATTTTTCACAAAAATGGGCCCATTTTTTGCCAAAAAAAATGGCATGCATAGCCTTTAGGAGGTTTGTAGAGTGCTCCTGGGGGCTCTGGGAGCAAAATATGGCCCATTTTTTGCTTGTTTTTGCCCTCATCAGCCCCCAGGAGCACTTTGCAGGCCTCCCAAGCCCTCTGCACATCCATTTTTGTGAAGGAGGCATGAGACCAAAAATGCTGTATTCAGTATATAAGACGCACCCAGATTTTCACCCTCTTTTTGGGGGGAAAATGTGCATCTTATATACTCTGAAAATATGGTAGGTGCGGGGGGATAGCAATAAATGGTCATCAGAAGTATATAGCATACTTTCCATTCTGAAAAGTGGTCTTTTGGAGAGTAGTTGCATGCAATCCTAAATACAATATTCAATACTGTTGGGGAAAAATAGGATGGGATCCTGGGCAGCTACTGCTTGCCAGTAGAGGTAACAGTGAATCAGCTGTAAATTAATCACTTGACCCACCTTAAATCAACTTTCTATGTCTATTACCTAATAGAGAATGATACTAAGGCAAGAGCCAAGAGAAATTTCAGGGATCTGATTCTATCTGAATACTGAAAAATTAATTCCTTTTTAGTACTAATGAAAAATGCAATATCCAAGTAATCTGGGTTCGTTTTATAATAGCCTTCTATAAAACACTTCCTTTTATACCTTTTTTGCTCAGAAATCATACCAGGTAAATAATGAGGTGACATTTCAATTGTTTAATAAAACAGAGCTAAGGATTTTATTTCAGTAGCTCAATTGTAAACAAAACTGTAATCTATATCAGAAAATGATATATCTTAGTATTTTGTCGGTAATGATTAAAACTAATGATCTAGAACTTGATTTATTTATCACTGAAAAATTAATCACAGCGCTATGTTTCATTTTGTATATAATTATACCCACAATGGAATGATATGCCATTATAAGTATTCATATGTCAAGTTACCTACTTTTCATTAAATACAACCAGGTTGTTAATGTTTAAATGATTTATTACTTAATTCTTTCTTATTCATGCTCTGAGTAAGTTTCAGTGTTAAACTAAATGTACATCAAAAGTAATACCTATTTCTTTTGCTATCACTCCATTCTGCTGCTCATCTGATTTCTGAAAAATAAAAAAAAGATTTTACATAAGCATCTATTCTAGAAGATAAATAAATATAGAAAATATACTTCTGAAAAAGGAAAAAGTTCCATACATACTCTTTCCATAGGTTCTGATCGCCTAGTTCTTTTCATAATTTCCTCAAGACGCTACATAATAAAGAAAAATAATATTAATAATGAACATCTTCCAGATTTATCCATAGTTTATAATATTTATTAATTTATTTTACATTTTTATGGGCCACCTCAATCAAAAATCTCTGGGTAGCTTATAATATGCTAATGATATGAAAAATAATAACCCCCCAAAGATGGATGCTGATAACTATTAGTTAATTAAACTTGGAAAAATAAAACTTTCAATTCTCTTCTAGATCAGGGCTTTCAAACTCCCAGCCATAGACCGGATGCATCACGTGTTGGCCACACCCCCACACGGTTTAGCAAAGGGGGAAAAAGTCCCGATACATCATGTGACGATACTGTGATAACATGAGTTTGACACCCCTGTTCTAGATGCCCTGAGCAAGGAAATTTTATAAACATTTGGTACTAGAGTTCCTATGTGTTGGAGCTGCTACAAAGAAGGACTGTCATCATCTCCATGTTCCCTTAACTTCAGATAGAGAGGTGACTTTTAACAGGCCTTTCTAAGATGTTTTCACTGGAAAACAGATTTAAATATATTAATTATGAGCACACTACATGCAATAACCAAATTCATCTTCAGATAGATGCTAGTTATTTCACCACTGCCACCTCTTCCTCCACCAACTTGGAAAAGGTGTGTCCTGTAACAAATTTTTACAAAATGTGCCACTCATCCTCCTTGGAATCAACTGGAGGAGGAAGCATCAACAATAACAGCATAGAGCCATGGTGGCACAGTGGTTAGAGTGCAGTATTGCAGGCTACTTCTGCTGCCTGCTGAGTGCCTGCAATGTGGCAGATCTAATCTCACCAGGCTCAAGGTTGACTCAGCTTTCAAGCCTTCTGAGGTTGGTAAGATTGTTGGGGGCAATATGCTGACTCTGTAAACTGTCTAAGTGCTAAGTGCTATAGGTGATCAGTGTGCAATTGAGCAAACATCCTCTTTGTATGCTTCCTGCAACCCGACTTTTTCAGAAATCAGATCAATTTACATTTGTTCCCTCCCGCCTCCAATCCATTATTGTCTCCACTTTAGACAAATGCATGGGTGGGTAAACTTCTCCACTTTAAGTAAACACTTTTTATTTCCAAAATGTGAGACAGGAGCCAAAAGAGAAGTGGCAATGAAAGTTTGCCAGAGATGTATACCAACCTTTGTTTCCCCAAAAATAAGATCTCCCCAGATAATAAGCCCAATTGGGCTTTTGAGCGCATGCTCTAAAACAAGTCCTCCCCTGAAAATAAGCCATCCCTGAAAATACTGCAACACAGCAGCAGCCATGACGTGACCATACTCACCGCCGCCTGCACCTCAAAAATAATAAGACCTCTCCGAAAATAAGGCCAAGTGATTATTTCGGGTTGGTCAAAAGAAAATAAGACCCTGTCTTATTTTGGGGGAAACACGGTAATAATTCAAAGCTTATCCATCACATCATGAACGCCTTTGGGGGTGTTCTTTATAAGCCTTCATACATGAAGGCAAGAGGCTACCTGATTCATATAGATTCCTGCAGGTTCTTCCCATGATTTGGAAATTTGGCTGCAATGGGTTCTAAATCAGAAAAGACTCCCCTTCATAGATGCTTTGTTGAGCAGGTATGTGCAAAAATCCAAAGGTGGCATTATAAGCAGCAAATGTAACTGATTTCAATTGTGTGGAAGATAATGTTTCCAGAAGGTTTTTAAATCTATTTTAGTCCTTACATTAAGTCCACAAAAGTGAATTCATTGGGTGGGTCACTTGCCACATGAAAATACACATGTAGTTGTCTGCAAGAACTGATTTCTATTACCTTCTTTCTTCCTAAGCGCTCTTGCTCTTCTCTCTGGAAATGTTTTTCACGTTCCAGTCGAATCTGGTCTTCTCGTAACCGAGTTTCCTCTTCCTTCTAAATTATGGCACCAAAAGGGGAAATATGGACATTGATTATATTATGGCAATCAATATTTTTTAATCTAGTTACTTTGACTTTTGCTTTCAATTGCTGTCTTCCCAACAGAACAGGGTAAGAGGCTGCATAGTCCCAACATAGTCGCAAAAGGTATATTTTGTATCCCAAAAGCAGCTTCTTTTATAATTGCAAATGAATGTACAATTTAATTACTTCTCTGTAGTGCAAACACATTTTGAAAAGGTGATGAGATTCTAAATTAAATACTGCGTACTTATGTACCTTCACTCCATAAAATTAAAATATCCGTGTTTCTTGATTACTTCAACAATCATTAGCCTTTCTGATTACACATAATCTGTTGCTGTTCATGATTTTAAGTAAGGTAAAAATTAAATGCTCCCTCTTCTATTTTGCTTGATATATTAGGGAAATATGCATTGTATGTTTAAGGCCCAAGTCACAAATATTAATGGCATTTTTGTATCTAACTTGCAGGATACATTCAAATGCAAATAGCAGCAGCTGGCAAAGTTCATAATTAACAAAATCAGAAGAGGCATGAAGAGGAAAATTAATGCTTTGCAATCCTGGTAAAAATTCCTCTTCTAAAAATTTTTTTTTCCAGGGAGGAAATTTCATTTGCATTGGAAAAACAGCATGCAAATTAGATCAAAAAGCGCATTCAACTTCAGAAAGAATAGGTCCTAAATATACAAAGGAAGGAAATACTGTATAACCTTTTGTAACTGCCAGAAGTCTTTCCAGAGAATACCAATATTCCAAAACCCACAGTCATACATATTTTGTATACACATACATATCACTTGTAAAGACAAAAAATGTGCTTTGGAGTATCAGTGGAGGAGTGGCTTCAGAGGTGGGTTTCGGCAGGCACTATTGCCGGTTTGCTTGTGTGCATGCAGTGTGCGCGTATGCACAGTGCAACAAAAATTGTTCTGTGCATGCGCAGAAGTGAAAAACAAGATGGCGGTACCTATGGTGCCGCCCAGAGAACCGGTTCAGGGGCGTGGCAGGCCTGGGTTTCTGCTGGTTCCAGAAACCCAGGCTGCCAAACACTACCAGTTCAGCTGAACTCGACTGAACTGGTAGGAATCCACCACTGAGTGGCTTGCATAGATCCTGTTACTATTCCTTAAAATAGTTGATCTATTCCTGTGATATCTTGAGGGATGGTGCCTACGGAGGGGGAAGTGAGGTGATGGATTATAGTGAAGTGGCAGTTTTGCTGGAAACATTTGGAGTGGGGCAGACAAGAGGCAGCACAGCCCACAGCTGGATAGAAGACAGAGAGTTAGGTTAGCCACTCCCTAAAATCTTCCAGGATATGTCTTTCTATTTTGTGTCAGGAAATAAAGACTCTTGACTGCATTGTTTTACATTGTTCTTGGGCTAAGCCTGACAACTGCCCTTCTGAAAGGTCACATGGCCCCAGGAAAAAACAGAATGGGTTAAGGAGTTGCAAATACTTTTACACTGACAGAGGGACCAGCTGTCTTAGAATAAGCAGAACAGCAGCACTAAATTCCATGGAAAACTTTTTTAAAGGATGCTTTTGGTCTGGCATTATCAAAATGGTACTTGCAAAACTGTAACATTCTGCAGCTTTCTCCATGTATGGGACATCCAACACATATATGGGATTGATGGGACTTCAACGATGGAGTCATGGCTTCCATCTAAACTTTTTTAACTCCTTCCCTGTCCAGAGATGCCACTGTTTGCATCTCCTTCCTTTCCTTCATGCAGTTGCACATAACCATGAGCCAATTGTAGAACACACAATCTGCAAAGCCCATTGGTGTTTACACTACCTTTTTCTGAAAGAGTTCCATTTCCCTCCTTTCTTTCTCCTCCTTTTCTTCTGCCAAGCGGCGTAGCTCTTCCTCCTCCTGCTCCTGTTCAGCTTCTTTTTGCTTCCTTTCTGCATCCTCCTTCTGAGCTTCCTCCTCTCGGCGTGCTCTTTCCTCAGCGATCTTCTGCACCAAGGCCTCCTTCTTTTGTCTAATGGAAACAATGGTGTGTGTTAGACAAAGGCATGGAAGGGTAAGACTAGCAAAAAAAATATTTAAACAAATAAAACACCTTGGCATATCAGACCACCTCCAAAAAATGAATAAATGAAACAGAATGAAAAAAAGAGGAAATGTTTCTTCTTCTCACTTTATCTGAGGTAAATTGAAGATTATTCTTGGATTAATTGGGAAATTTCCTTAAATAGAATCGTGAGAAATTTGAAATGTTGCTTGGTGCCAGAAACCAAATTACAGTATTTCTTTCTGTGGAAGGATATCTAAGACTGTATTGAGCAAGTCTAAAAAGATCCTCTGTAGCATAGGGATTAATGGATTGGGCTACGAGCAGGAAGAGCCATATTCTAGCCTTCCTTCAGCCATAGAAGCTCATTGGCTGATTTGCAGCCAGTCAACCTCTTAGCTCAACTTTCCTCACAGGATTGCTGTGATGGTGGTGGTGGTGAAATAGAAGAAAAGCTACTTAAGTACTCCACCTTAAACTCTTGAACAAAAGGTGGGATATAAATCACCTAGCTAAAGAAGTGAATTCTGAATTACCAGTTTTACTTTTCTCTCTCCAGACAGAAAGATGCCCTTTATGTAGAGAATAGGAGTAAGAGTGTTCATATTTCTAACATTACTATATCATTTCAGATGCAGGTGGCACAAACTTGGAGATACTGCTGGAAGGGTTTATGACAATGCAAAATCCAGACATTTGTTGAAGTCAGAACTACCTAAGAAGCACTAGAGTGGCTTTTTCTATCATGATGACCCTCCGGCATTTTGAAATATAACTTCTATTTCCCAAGTCAACATGGCCAATGGCTGAAATGATTGGAGTTTACCTCAATACAACTGGATAATAGCAGGTTGAGAAATGATGCTGTCCTTTTGAACATCTGGATCATATTATTCATTTACTTATTTTTTTATCCATGTTTATATACCTAATACTCATTTCTCTTTCTATTTTCCCCACAAGTTCTCTGTGAGGTGAGTTGGTCTGAGAAAGAGTGACTGGTCCAAAATTGCCCAGCTGGCTGTCATGTCTAAGATAGAATTAGAACTCATAATCTCCTGGTTTCTAGGCCAACACCTTAATCACCACACACTCATCTGGCTCTTAGTTAATCAGTATCATCTATTCTATATTAATTATCACATTAAATCTATAGAATCTAGATTGCATAAAATCTATAAAATCAGCACAACCTATACAAATTATCACAATGTATTAAATAGCCCTATTTGTAAAGGCAGAAGTAACGGCTTAGAAAGACAGGAAGAAGTGCCACTAGCAAGTCAATGGTCACATAATATTTCAAAGAAAATAACTTGAGAAAACATCTTGGATAGGTTTCTCCCTAATTCACATGAAGATAAAGGGAGGAAGAGAGAAGCACATTCAGACTTACAAGAGTCTGTTACTATAGTTGTTACAGCTATAAAAACAGTCCTGCCTATATGGCATTGGTTACTTAGTGTGGTCTATGTTGTTGGGTGGACACTATTCCAGACAGAGATATCTTTTAACAACCTGCTTCTGCTAAATCATGGAGATGAATAGAATATAAGCTTTATACAAATGCTTTGTTTTGTTATCTTGGCCTGTGGTGTGTTCAAAGAAGATATCCAAAAGAGCATTTTCTCCATTAGACAACTAATGGTGACTTGATCACCTTTCAATCTCTTCCTGCTCCCTTCTTTGCTGCTCCTCCCGTTCTCGTTGCTCCCGGGCGAGTCGCCTTTTTTCACTAAGCAACCGGGTTGCTTCTTCTGGATCTGTTGTCCCTGCTGAAGATTTGCTACAGATGGGAGATGATGAAGCTGCTGAAGGAACAGAGGGCAGAACTGGAACACGACCTAGAAGAAAAGTCAGGTTTCTACCATCAGAGTTGGGACCTTTAAAAAAAAAAGCCATGTACAGAATACAATATCTGGAAAAGGAAAATTATAAAATATGAAAATACCATTTACTAGTTGAGGTTGAGTAGTGGATGGGCTCAAAGCAAACCCATTCTCTATACACTAAATCTGGGTAACTCACAAAAATAGAGTAAAAGGGTCAAATGTTTGGAGGGGAGAGAGTCAACTTTCCAAGGTCTTCCTGAAAGGTAGCGGGGATAAGACCCTGCCAGACCTTAGAGGATGTTGTTTTTCAAGGCAGGGGCTGCTACAAAGAAGGCAAGTTTTCTAGGGCCTCTCAGATGACATTTAAGAGAGAGAACTAGAGTGTACCTAAATGGAACTGCATCTTCATGGAGGGAAGTATGCAGTAGAGTACCCCAAGGGTTTGTTTTGGGCCCAGTACTCTTCAACATCTTCATCAATGATTTGGATGAGGGAATAAATGGGGAACTCATCAAATTTGCAAATGACACCAAGCTGGCAGGAATAGCCAACACTCCAGAAGATAGGCTAAAGATACAGAAGGATCTTGACAAACTTGAACATTGGGCACTATCTAATAAAATGAAATTCAATGGTGAAAAGAGTAAGGTTCTACATTTAGGCAACAAAAACGAAATGCACAGGTACAGTATAGGTGGTACCTTGCTCAACAGTAGTAACTGTGAAAGGATCTTGGAGTCCTAGTGGACAACCATTTAAATGAGCCAGCAGTGTGCAGCAGCTGCCAAAAAGCCAACACAGTTCTAAGCTGCATACACAGAGGGATAGAATCAAGATCATGTGAAGTGTTAATACCACTTTATATTGCCTTGGTAAGGGCACACTTGGAATACTGCATTCAGGTTTGATCACCACTATGTAGAAAAGATGTGGAGACTCTAGAAAGAGTGCAGAGAAGAGCAACAAAGATGATTAGGAGACTGGAGACTAAAACATATGAAGAACAGTTGCAGGAACTGGGAACTGGGTATGTTTAATAGAAAGAAGGACTAGGGGAGACATGATAGCAGTGTTCCAATATCTCAGGGGTTGCCACAAAGAAGAGGGAGTCAAACTATTCTCCAAGGCACCTGAAGGTAGAACAAGAAGCAATGGGTGGAAACTAATCAAGGAGAGAAGCAACTTAGAACTGAGGAGAAATTTCCTGACAGTTAGAACAATTAATCAGTGGAACAGCTTGCCTCCAGAAGTTGTGAATGCCCCAACACTGGAAGTCTTTAAAAAGATGTTGGATAGCCATTTGTCTGGAATGGTATAGGGTTTCCTGCCTAGGCAGGGGGTTGGACTAGAAGACCTCCAAGATCCCTTCCAACTCTGCTATTGTAAACTTGAACCCAACCATCTAGTGGGATAAATAGACATCCACAGGGAGAGGTAGTGCCTAAAATAACCTGACTTTGTGCATTCAGGACTGTAAAATGGTAAACAACCCCTTGAATTGCACCCAGCAAGAAGTCAATGCAGCAACAGTAAAATATAGGAAACCATCAGGTGCTCAGAATTATACACATTGCTGCATTCTGGACCACTTACAACTTCTGGGTAGTCTTCAAGGGAAGGTCAATGTACAGCACATTGCTGTAAAAGGAAGTGGCCAAAGCATGAATGATTTTGAACAAGGATAAGAACAGGTACAACTGGTATGCACAAGATGAATCTGTACAGACACCCTAGACATGGCTCCTTTAATAGAAACAATGAATCTAGGAAGAGTCCTGAATTTCATACAAGCTTTGTTCAGGGGAGTGCTACCTCACTGAGCAAAGACAACACAACGTCAAACCCTGAGGGTCGATGTGGGGGCAAAACACAAAGCCATTCTGTCTTGGTAGGGTTGAGTCAGAGTTCATTCCTGCCCAGGCACTGGGTCAGCTCCTAGCTGGCCAATGGTAGGAATATATACCTGAGTATCAACAGCACAGATATTGCATTCTGTGGTGTTGAATGTCCTCATCCAGTAGTTTCTTATTACAGAAGAGCAGCAAGAGACCTGCACCTTAAGGTATCCCACACTTCAGGTGCCTAGGGTCTGATCTTTTCACACTAACACTAATTGTTGAAAATCCATTAATGTAATTACTTCCTATGATTTAATAACCCCATGTACATTTAAAATTACAATTTCTCCATAATTTTGGGAGAGTTTTGTAAGACTACACCCAATACTTGAGACTACAGGTAACTTTGGTGATAGACAGGTTGTGTACTCCTGTGGGCCATGACTTAGTGAGGAGGATGTAGCTCTATTAAGTCAGAATTGCCATTAACAAGAGAGACACTCATGAATTATTGCCTAAGGAGATCTTAAAATCTGAAATAATCACTAGTTAGAACATGTAGTGTATGTGACTATTATGACAAGTATTTCAATTTAGTCATTTAAACCACATTCCACTTCAATTTCAAAACAAAACAAAACAAAGCATATAGTCAATTTTTAAACAAATAGTCCCAGTGATTTCATGCAGACAACTAGGTTGATTTTAGCCTGTGATCCTGGTAGTTTCTCTGCTCTTACATTTAATTAGTAACCAACCCTGCTTAGCTTCCCAACCTAAACCATTGGAAATAAACATGTTACAATTATCCACATTGATTCAAAACAATATCCAAAAACTACATAATGAGAAGGGAGCAAAGCACTTAATTGGGTAAGGAACATTTTGGAAGACTGATAACCTGATCCTTACTTTGAGTGGGCTCTGGTTTACAGGTCTCTTCATTTGTAGCTACTCTGGGATTTGAAGCTGTTTTTTTAGGGTCTGATTTTTGTTCCATTATCTTCTCAGATTCCTTCAGCGTCCCCTTTTTCCCATGTTTTGTTGGACGAATGTTGCCAGGGGAAGGCGGGCGAGCTTGAATGGAAGGTGTTTTGGAAGATCCAGATAGCAAAGTGATCTTTCTGGGTGTTCCTGGCAGGACAGGCATTGATCTGGAGGCATGCCTATTTGAATCACAGAGACACAGTAATCACAATTTAGATTTAGATCTTGAATAACTTTATTGTCACTTTAAATCTACACTAATCGGCATACATTAAAATGAAATTTCATTGATACAGTTCTCAAAGGGTCACCACCTCCAATATATACTACATAAGCATGTAAAAAATACAAACAAACAACAAATAATAAACATTATGTATATACCCACACACAGTATATTATATGACACAGAGAAACAACACAATCTAGTACATTTATATTATATTGTTGAGTTATTGTTACTCCATTTTATTGCTTTTAACCATTTTCTCATCTCTATCCATTCTTCCCTACTCTTCTGAAGTAGCTTTGAGAGGAGTGGGAAAAAAGAATCTACCTGAGAAACATCATTTTATCTTATAAAAAGAGGACCACAGAAAGCGGATGTTATACCACAATGAGGCACAGCTTAGTACACTTTGCTAAAGATTTATTAAAATTTATCTGCTTCTTTTTCTCACAAAGAACAAGGTTCTCTTCAGCTAGAAATCACCAATGTGGTACCATTTTCATAATCACAAAATGACTTTGGCAGGGCATTTTTTTGAGAAGCCTTGCCTCGCCTCACCTCAGAGTAATCACTAAATGTACCTGCCTACAGACATCATTATTCCCAAGGGGATATTACCAGATCGGGGGACTCGGTTTTAAAGTCCCACTGACTCTCCATCAATCTGGAAAAAATTCAAAATAGGTTTGATCCTTTAATATATGTATCTTTTTCCTATTTGTATAGCCATCTGTTTTTTAATGTTCAGATACCAACAAATTCTTAGAGCAACTATACATGATGCAAACAGAACTAAGATGAAATAAAAGCTAATATTAAGTTACTTACCAAGCAGCTGGTTTACTTCTGAAGGCAGATGGTGAACGAGTTCTTCTTTTACCAGATGAAGGATTAGTTGATGAGAGTCCTCTTTCCTTTCCTTTCCTGCTATTCTAATATTGAACAAATAGGACAAATGAGGCATTTTGCATAGCTACAGAAAGAAAGCTGCCTTATTAAATGTACCTAGAAATAAATCTTTGCTATTGCAAATTACTACTGTACAAGTGTTAATTATCCTTCAGTTTCAAAAAAGAATAAAAGATTGGGCTCATGATATGTAATTTTTGTTTTTATTCTAATTTGCATTTTGTAAGAATAGTGTTTCATATCTTCTGATTATCTGGATTGAAACATTATTTTAAGCCATTCCATTTTTGTTTGTTTCCAATTATGGTTTGTTTCCACTATTATGGTTTATGAATCATCATTTATGACCTAGCACTATCCATGAATGCAGAGATTTTGGCTAATTGAATAAACAATATCTTGGCACCATCTGGTAATGCTTTGCTTAACCATCAGTTATCCTCACAGACACTAAGTGAAAAGCTACAGCTCACAAACCATAATGGATGAATGCAAGCAATTCAATACATCAGTTCCAAACACATTGCTTTTGAGTTCAGTGAAATGTGTTTCTGATTTGCCCTATATTTAACCTGGCCCTGTAAACATTTTTAGTTTTCAAGAAAGACAATGATTCTTTTTGATTGCAATTTATATCAACCCCGCCAGGTAGGCTGTACCAAGAAATGAAATAGATGATAAAACTACTTTTATTGAGATTAGCTAAAATAATAGAATCTGGAAAGTCTGATTGTGTTGTACCTTGTGCCTCCTTATACTTCAGTGAATTAGGGAGTCCCTGTCTGAGTCGCTTATGAGCACTATATGAAACATATTTCACCCATCGCCTTACTAAAGGATTTTGCAAATCTCTATCAAGACAATTTTCCTTCCTGTACAGATTATAACACATTAAAACAGGTCAAAGTTAAAACCAGAGGTATTGCCTTGTCCTACTCAACCTAGCACCAGCAGCATCCAGAGGGGTTTTCCAACACATAGTTGTCATACTGACACTCTATGTCCCAGTCGCATTTTTGCAACTTTCATTTTACTTTTTTTTTTGGACCATCATTTCATGGACACCACTTAATAGCTCTCTTGATTTCAAGCACGAGCCTTTTACAGATGATGATGGGATTTGTCTGAGCACTTCTATACACAAAGCATATAACTTGCAATGCTCTATGTATGACCTTCCCTTAAAGGTCTATCAGTTATATAAACTTTGTATCTGGAAATGTCTTCGTAATCTTTTAGTTCATTTTTAAATACAAAGCTGTTAATTCAAAATGTAAACGCTAATGAACTTTTCTCATTTGTTGTGAAATATTCACAAACTGTAGGCAGTTTACTAGGTGAATAATCCTTTTTGGTAACTGATAATAAACCCGAATCATTATGGTAATCTTAATGCACAAATCTTAGCATGCAAATAGTATGATTCCATATCCACATTTCCCCCCCCCCCTCTATTAACTACTTTCTTATAATAAGGAAAAGAACCAAGGTTGCTGCATTCAGGATTTCATCAAAGGTGCAAGCTTATTCCCAATTTGGGAACTTACCCCAGCTGAATGTGTGACCCTTCGCCGTCTAATCTCAGGGGCTGTGCCAAACAATTTTGCTCGGTCTGCTGGACTTTGGCAACTAATGGCCTTGAAGGAGAGAGGGCTGATTGGGCTGCAAGATGCTGAACGAGGACAAATGGGGATAACTAGGGTATTTATTTTTTTCCCATGTATATATTTAACCAAATACATAGAAGGAAACCCAAGAGACAGGAACAGGAACCAGAAGCAGGAAGCAGAGATAGGAAAAGAAGAAACGAAGGAAGGAAAGTATTAATATACAAACGGAGAAAAAGCAGAATGCTTAGAGATATCCTGGGATTATCTACAAATTATCTACAAATTAGAGGCCTGAAATTACCTTTTTTCTATTTAGGCAGAAATATGGTCTACCAAAATACACAAATGTACAAAGGTCTACATAAGAATTAATCCCACAAGGATATTTATTCCCAGAATTGCAGAAGAAAAACACTTATGCCATCCAAAACCTAACAGTTCTCTGCTACAATAGATTCAATTCTTATTTTATTAGGTCTAATCTAATTGTTCTTTTATAAGAAAAATTAAGCTGAAAACAACTGGAATGTACTACATTAACTGTTGATTAAGATATGAAAGTACTCGTTTCCTAAAGGACTATTAAGACAATATTAATTTTATTCATTCAATTTATATAAAAATGTAACTTTTGTCATCTGTCTGAACTAAATTCATATAAACATGGTACTTCTTCATTAAACTACATATATGAGAAATTGAGGCATATTTGAATTGGAATCTGATTATGAAGTAATAGGTAACATATTGGAAGCTATATGAAGTAATTTTGATTTACTGAAAGTTATGTTTTACTGATTCAGTAATTTCAGATGTTCATATCTAATTATATCTAAAACCATTTTTATAAAATGGTCAATTTAATATATAAGTAGGATAGGTATGGTTACAAGATTTCTCTAAAACATGATGGGGAGCTTGTTACTGAAGACTGAGACACTTTTTGCTATTGAAATTAGATAGTTTTCAGCTGAATTTTTAGAGATTTCCAGAGAAAAGCAGCTCAAAAAATGGAAGGAGAGAAAAGAATGCAAATTAATCCTTGAATCAAGATTCAGAAAACAGCCAAACCAGCCCAAAATTTCCAAAACAAAATTTTAAAAAGCTGTATACTTTTAAATGATATAACTGAGAAGCGAAATTATTGATGTTTAATTTTACCTGCATCTCCAGATAAAGTTGCTACACTTTTACTCCTGGCCAAGAATGAATGAGTTGGGGTCAGAAGCCTGCTAACCATGTTGCTTTCCCATGGACTTAGCTGCATACGTCGAGCTAAATGTCATCATATAAATGAGATGTTAGATCAAATGCCTTTCACAGAGAATCACATCAGAGTGCTTAATTAAACCCTGACCTCATTACACATAAGTGTTTATTAAAAACATTGGAAAGACAACTGATCATTAATTAATTAATTAATTCATCTTGCCTTTCCATTTCAGCAATTATTTCCAAAAATACTTCCAAGCAACTTGACATGTTACAGAAACCTAACTAATTGGACCTAATAAAAATATAAATATTGAAAGAACAACAGTACAATGTTAATTATTATTCACAGAAAAAGAAACGGCTCCCAAATACATTTCCTATGATTAACCACAACCATAAAGAAATCATTTACTGTGAGCTACTTCAGCATCTCTAAAGGCAGCGGATTAAGCACAGACGTTTTACACTACATCTAATTATGAGCAGAATATGAAACCACAGAGAAGAATAGAAGTTGCCTGCTTTTGAGGCAGAGGAGATGCAGACTTCATTTATTTCTTGCCATAAGTGGGAGAACATAGCTTGCCATGGATTTGATGTTTGTTAAAGAATTTCATGATGCTCATGAAAACCCCCACTATTTTTGATTTGGCAAAATCCCTATGGTCAGCTTAAGTCTACATCCAACATGTTTATTTACAAGAACCACCAAAAACTGAATGTGTTCCAACTTACCATGAAAATAATTCTGTTATTACGTATGAAAAGAAATCATATCTATTTATATTAAACATTAAAACATTTCATTAACTGTGTGCTCAACTTACATACATTTCACCAAGAGGAATAAATCCTCCCAAAAGAAAAGGCAAAGTTCAATCCTGGATGCATTATTTTGCAACGTTTTACATTAATCTTAACATCCTTTATGTGTGTATTTATGCATGCACATATATATATATATATATGAATGAAAAGATAAATAATTATCCCATGTAATGATATAATGCATTTATAAAAAATGTTCTGTAATGAATTGTTGTATCCTGTTTTCCCCAAAATAAGACCTCCCTGAATAATAGGCCCAATCGGGCTTTTAAGCGCATGTGCTAAAATAAGCCACCCCGAAAATAAGCCCTCCCCCAAAATATTGCAACATAGCAGGCATGAGTTGACCACGCTCGCCGCCTCCTGCACCTCAAAAATAAAAAGACCTCCCTGAAAATAAGGCCAGGTGCTTATTTTGGGAGTCAAAAGAAAACAAGAGCCTGTCTTATTTTCGGGGAAACATGGCTAAAATAGCTTTTACAGTTAATAGAAACATATTCAGGTAAATTATATAAAACACAAAATGTATTAAGAATGTTAATTCCTAAAGGAAAAGCACCTTTGGGCATACTGACTCAAGGGCACACACACACAGACACATACAAATCGCTGAAGTTGTATGGCAGACTAGATGTTTCTGATGGAATGGAACCACCACTCCATAGTAAAGTGACTTCTGACAAAGCAAAATCTTTCCTTTTTCTTATTAAGACATGGAATGAAATTAAGAAGGATATGTTAAGATGGAAGAAACTACACTGCCATTGTTGGGGAGAATCTTTGTTGTAAAAAATGAATATATTGCCTTGAATGATGCTTTTCTTTCAAACAATACCTATTTTGACAATCAATGTATCATTTCCCCTTCCCCGATTTTATGTGAGCCGCCCTGAGTCCCCTCAGGGAAAAGGGCGGCCTACAAATATTAATAATAATAATAATAAATTTAAGCAGTGGTAGAAAGATATTCTGTATCTAGGTTTATATGGCAAGAGAAAAAAACCAAGGATTAAGTGTAAAGTTATCCAAAATGCTAAGGATTGAGAAATAATTGGATTGCTGATTTAAAACTATTTTTCAGCCAGCTGTTTTGTTTGGATAAAAGTGTAGATGTTGCTGAGAAATAAAAGAATTTTAGAAGAGAATGATCTAAAAGAGTTATGGCAAACCTTTTTCTTACTGAGTGCCAAAATTGCGTGTTGACGCGTTGGGGCCGTTTTTTGTCCTCCCCAGCCTCTGGAGGCTTTCCTGAAGCTTGGGGAGGGCAAAAAATCAGCTGCCTGGCAAGCGCATGAGCGCCGGAGTTGACATCTGGTATGCCATCAAATATGGCTCCGGACGCCACCTCTGGCACGCATGCCATAGGTTCACCATCACGGATCTAACGTTTGGTTTTTCTATGGTATGATAGTTATATTTAATGTAGATTTTGAAAATGACTATGTCAGAAGTCCCATATTAAGAATATGGAACATATGTATAAATTATTGTCCAAAAATGTAATTATGAGCTCAGCACAAAAAACATTTGATGGGAAAGAAACAACAAGCAAAGAGAAAGGATTAACAGGATATGTGATGAAGAGATCATTTGTTGTCTTTTAAGAGAAAGTGATAAAAGTTACTAAAATTATTTTTACTTGGTCTGATAAAAACTATCAGAAAATCAGAAAATAATTGATAAACTTGAAGTATGTAATTTTTAAAACAAACAAATAAATAATATACAATTTAGTGAATCTGATTTTTCAAAATATTCCTATGGCTGTTCTTTAAAACAGAGTTCCCCAAAGTTTCCGGCTTTGCAGACTGGAGGGGAAGGGGGAGGGAGATAGTTTCACTTGAGCAGTGGGCAAGCACACACTTCCATAACCCAGTTCTAAATGGCTCAAGGCCGCAACTTGGGGGCAGGTGACATAACAGCAATAGCAATATCACTTTGGTGCTTTACAGCTCTCTCTGAGCAGTTTACAATGTCAGCATATTGCCCCCAACAATCTGAGTCCTCATTTTACTAATCTCAGAAGGATGGAAGGCTGAGTCTACCTTGAGCCAGTCAGGATTGAAGTTTAGGCTGTGGGCAGGGTTTGCCTGCAATACTGCATTCTAACCACTGCACTACCAGGATTCATAAGTAACGTAAATTTTTATTTCATAATTATAAAAACATAAATTTGCCTTTCGCCTCTTCTCTAAAAGTATGGTCCCTGACTACAGTACAAAATGGTTGTCTTCCTTTGTTTTAATATGAAAGTGGAAACACTGCATTTGGCTTTTGAGAAAGAGAATAAATTACTTCTCTGATACATATATAGTGTTTTATTGTCAGTGAGACAATAATTTCAAAGCTAATGGAATTGTCAGTTTGACAATTATAAATCATAGGCATGTATTTATTTCAAAATATGGAGAAAAGCCACATAATTCATTAACATAAACAATCATATGGCAATCAAGATATTCCATGCACATAATCTAGCCTCATTCAATTCAGGGAAATTTTCTATAAGGCATATATGTACATTTATCAAGAATGAGACCTTCCAACCATGATTCACATTACAATGGAAAACCTAAATAATCTTTGGTTTAAAAAATATATCTGCATCTAAACCAAGTATAACAATTCTTCAGACATTTTGATTACTACTGAGCAGCTTTTAAAAAATTCCTCTCTATATCCAATTAAAAGTAAGAACAATGAAAAAATAACTTGCTTTCTTTTTAAACAGCTGAAAGACTGAAATATAGCTCAGAATAATCTCTTTGGGAAGACATGTAAGCATGTCAAGATATGAAGCCAATAGGAAGACTGAATACCTAATTTCTTAGCCAAGGAATTATCAAACTGACTAACCATAGTGAGGTTCAAGAGCACTTTTTAATGGTAAAAATGGAGAAAAAATAATCAAATGAATATGATCTACTCCAATGATGATGACAAAAATTAAAATATATTCCATGCACAATGGAGAAATGAGCAGACACTCTATAACTTTTCTTTTAAAAAATCTTTTACTAAAAAGCCTGACAGAAGCACTGCTTTATGCATTTGTGGGGTTTTTTTCCTATCCAAAAGATGGCTTTTTATCCAAAGCCACATTTTGTTTCCTCTAATAATATAAAGGAAATTACTTAAGAGCTGCTCAAATTTTTCAAAATAGTTATCATACGGAACATTTTTTTTGGTCCTTTGTTTTTCACTTTTCTTCCAAACTGTACCTCTGTCTGGAGAATTTAGTAATGTTGCAGATGAGTAGGAGAGCCGCTTGTTAATGACTGGATCAACATGTTTCGAAAGGTTCATTGTTGAAACAGATCGCCTGTCTGGATCTAAAACAAATGGAAATAATGCTAATTGACAGCCCGCATGCAATAATGTGACTTTGTATAGTCCTCCAGAGCATAAATAGGAAGATTTGTTTTCTTATGTTTTGTGAGGATATATCAAGGGATTTTCTTTTTAGGTGACTCAAAGATTGGGCACAAAATGGAATCCTATAGTTATCCCGCGATAAGTCCAACTGAGGGTTTACTGTTTAGAAGATAAATATAGGATTGCATGCTTAATTTCAAGTTGCAGCCAAACTCCTACTAAAACAGCAATGTTCTCCTTAATGAAACAAATGCAAATGAAGAATAAGAAATAAAGCAATGAGATTTAAAAGGGTTATTTCATTCATTGTATTCAAGATAATGCAGTAAACCTGAGGGAAATGAGAAATGAAATGGATAATAAAACCAAATCTTTTATAACCAAGAACATTTAACTATTTGGTAAGAGAGTCCTATGAACTAGAATCCCTCAGTATTACATGTCCTTGTATGTTCATATGGGAAATATATAGAAACAAGGTGGGGAACAGAAAGAAAACCATGGAATTTCAAAGTCAGGAACTTCCAAGTTAAAGAGGTTCCTGCAAGATTATTTCCAGGCACTTGTGAAAGTGCTTTAGGCAGAATTCTGTGCAGCTCATGCATGCAATCTTACAGCCAGGCGTACTTCCATTTTCAAAAACCTCACTGTTTTACAGATTTTTAATAGCATAATTATAGGTTATTTGGGTTGATGTTAATCCCCTTAAAGGTCATGGGGTGGAAAGGATTTTGATGTGTTTAAATAAAATTGTTTTCCTCAGAGTATAGCAAAATTTAATACAACTGACATCTTAGAAACCAACGCTGCAGCCTTCTCTACTCTCATGCCTTCCAGGGAGGATGAAGCAGCTTTGAGCTATTCTGCCTGGAAATATTTGGGTATCACAGATCAAACACAGCTGAGAACAAATGCTATACTAGTTGGAATTCTGAGAATTATTGCCCCAAGTCATCTGGAGGATGTCAGATCGAGAAAAAGATGCACCACTGAATGGTTATCTGGATAAATGTTATATAATCCAATTCACCATTTTTTAAAAAAACTTCACTTCTTATAGCTTTGTGGGGGAACGTTCAACTCTTCCTTATCTTCTACATGATGTCCTTCAACTAAGGATTTCCACTATAGTGCACACTGCACATAATGTAATTTCCCCATGTTATTTCCTCTCTAACTTGATGACTTTGGGGGGGGGAGGGTTAGAGGACAGTTGAGTTTTCAGCATGGATACACGGTGATGTGACCCAGCAGTCATTTGACATCCTTTTATTCATTTTTCAAAACAACTTAAAGCCACTTTCCTCCAAAGCAAACATTTATTCCCCCGCCCGCCCCCGCAAAAAAATGAACAGGAGCATGGAGAGGAATGACACAATGGGACTCAGAGCAAAGAAAAGACACCACGAGAAGAGCTAGGAAAGTTGCTGATGCAAATATTTTCCAGAAGTCTTATGTGCCACCTGATCTGGAAATAGTAGGAAAGGTTCCTGAAGGATAACCAGTGAGAACCTTTCTGAAGAATAGGTAGGTACAGGGGGCAATCCTGCGACAGGATTGTTTTGCTTTTCTTAAAGTGCTGATGATTTTTTTTTAAAAAATGCAGTGACAAATTGCACCACTGAAAAACATAAAATCATACTGAAAATATAACAATTAATAGTTTTCAAGAATAATAAACACATAATTTTAAAGCACTCTACAATAAAATAAGTAATAGAAAAACAAAAATAATATTTTTTCTTGTATCCAAAACACTTTTGAAACCATTGTTTCTCAAGTTTTAAAAATATTCCAAATAGGCAGCATCACTTCAGAATTGTACAATGCATTTTGAGAAGTTGTGCCACATTCTTTAAGTCGCCCAGTAATAAATTCAATAAACTTGAGGAAAAAGCGAGGGCTATCTATCAGCTCTAGTCTATGCGGTGTTAGACATGCACACAGTCTACAAAAGATGGATTAGGTACTGGCATACTGCTCCTATTTTGAGGAGATAACTACTTGTGGTGAATTCAACAAATCATAGTGATTTATGTACCGAGTTTTCTAGCACCACCCAGAGGTTTGAAGTGGTACTCCAAGCCTGCTAAATCGAGAAGGGTGAAGGATGATTCAACAAAATAACCTAGGACAGAATGCAAGACAATGATTTTTAAAAGTAAAGAAAAACTTAAAAGGCAGCAGTCAACTTACACAAAAAGAAGCAAAAAATAACAGGTAGAATGTTGTTATGAAAAAGACAGCAATTTGATCTTGTAGCAATATCTAACTCATTTTAGTTGTGTGTGTATGTGTGTGTGTATAAAGTTGTTCTAGTTAGTATTTGAGTAGAAGAAAACATCAGAAAATGTAAAGTGTTCAGTTAGACTAGGCAATTTTAAAAAAAACAATAGCAAGCCACTTCCATACTTTTGCCAAAAGAGCTCTGAATTGAAATGTCCATGAAATTGCTAACAATTGAATTTGTCTTACAGGGGATTTTACCATTTTACTTATAATTTAAGAGCAATGATCAATGTTTTTGTCCCATAACAAATGCAATAATGCTTGCTAGTGCATTTTCAAAAGAAAATAAAGTATCAATAGAAATACAATTTCTGCATAGCTCAGGTCCATCTATAAGATCCTCCTTCTTCATCAATGGAGATTAGGTGAAAACAGGAATTCCTCTAGTTTTTTTTTAATGACATTTAGAAAACAGATGAATAGTATCCTTTTTTGCAGGACAGATGGAATGGAGTTTCCTCATAATTTGACTGTAGAGTGGAAGAGGACATTTATGATTAGGTTTTTAATATAACGTTTGTATAGGTTTGTACCTATACCAATGTGCACCTCTCTTATTTATTGAAATAGCCTAAAACTCACACAGAGACCTGAGAAAAGAAACTGGCTGCTTGAAATGAAGAGCAGAGGGGTGCAGTGTACGGACAAGGTCTTAACCATCCCTCCTGAATGATTTTGAAAACTGCAGGCCTAATAGTATGCATCTATACTTGCACAAGACTGTATATATTGATATTATGTTATCTATTATTTATAATACCATACTGTATAATATTTTGTAAAAAAAATATGTTTAGGAAAATACAGAAATGATGAGCCATAATTTAACTATTCATTTAACATCAGATAATCTCTCAGAGACAGCCATTTTGGTGTAATGATTAAGGTGTTGGCCTAGAAACCAAGAGACTGTGAGTTCTTGTCCTACATTAGGCCCAAAGCCAGCTGGATGATTTTGAGTCAATCACTTTCTCCCTGCCCTAGGAAGGAAACGATGGTCACCATTTCTGGAAAACTTTGTTTAAAAAACTGAATGGACTTGTCCAGCTGGTCTCCGAGAATTAGACAGGACTGAATGTAAGGGGGAGGGAGGAATCTTTTCAAAGCCAAGTTCATCAGAAGAAAGATAAATCTGCCTAAGAGTTTTAAATATTAATTAATAGCAATGCTCACTGCTGGATTTTCCTCCCTATACAAAGACTTTCACAGCTACAACAAAATATACCATCGGTTTCATTGCGTTATCAGAAATCATATTACTAATCTAAATATCTAATTAAATTCATAAATTTAAAAAGCTTGGCTTAAACAAACAGAGTGCTAGCACACAGAAACAGACAAAGCAAATAATACAAATGCAAATAGATAGAAATACAAATGAAGTTGGGAAGGAGAGATCAGATGTCCAAATATTAGATCAGTTTCTTATACCGGAAAGTTAAGCATAAAAAAAAGAGGCACCACACATCTGCAGACATATGCACTCAAAGTCTAAAATGCAATTCAGTACGAAAGGAGGTGTCTTCAGTTAAACAACTCATGTATCTATTAGTACACACACACACACACACACACACACACACACACACACACACATGCACACAAAAGGAGACAGAGTGAGATACCTGGCCTCCAATTTTACCTGTATTATTAACACTGCTGCTACGATGAAGCGTACTTCCCAGGGACCACCTGTTCTGCTTTTCTTTTGGTTTCTGGCTCCTCTCAATTGTGCGGCGTACAACAGCTTCATGTCGTTCCTAATGAGATAGCAAATTGTTACAACTGGCCTGAAGTGACATTGCCTTCATTCATTTTAATAATCTTAAACTGATAAATGCAATCAATTGTATAAAATGTGTTTATCTTAAGGCAATCCAGTCAGAGGGGGAATCAATAAATTCCTATATTCCTACTGTCTTTACTGCCGTCATCATTGCTGAGTGGCAGAATTCTGGTTCCCCCAAAAAGAGTGAATGGGCTAACTTATATCAGAATGTGAAGGCTAATTTTCACTGGAACCTACTATCTGCCCTGTTTTCACTGTTCCATATAGAAACGTATTGCCCCAAAGATCCCGTAAAAAACTTCTCCTACCTTGTCCTCCTCTATTCGCTGCTTCCGTTTTTCTTCTACTGCAGCTCGCCTTCTTTCTTCCTTTAGCCTCTGCTCTTCTAATTTCTTTTTACGCTCCTCCAGATGTTTTTCGTAGTGTTGCCTTGCTCTCTCCTCTTTCTCTAGCCAAGCAGCTTCTCTCGCTGCTAAAAGAATATCAAAGGAAATTTCACTCATATGGGGGTTTATTCTTCTATGACATGGATATTTAATATCAACAGCCCATATTTAAAGAAGTTCATAGCATTCTGGTGTTACCAATTACCATTTTAGGAAGAATCCTTACAATGCTTCTTGAATGGAATACGTTATTAACAAGCAAAAAGTAGCTAGGAAATTTTCATCTCCTGTCAATTGCCTGGAGAAGTCCATGCAGTTTTTGTGCCAACATTTTTGGAAGTGATTTGTATTTTTTTTAATGACTTAGAGAAAATGAAGTGATTCACAGTGAACTGGTTGACTTCCACGCCTAACGCAGGACTAAAACTCATGTTTCCTCATTACTAGACTAGCATTTTAGCCAGTAAACCAGACTGGCTGTCTAGGACAGTGGTTCCCAAACTTGGCAACTTTAAGACTTGTGGACTTCAACTCCCAGAATTCTCCAGCTAACTCTTCTGGCTGGAGAACTCTGGGATTTGAAGTCCACAAGTCTTAAAGTTGCCAAGTTTGGGAACCACTGGTCTAGGACATATGAATCTCTCACAAAGTATTCAAACGCTGAATCTTGCACTCTGGTGCTTATAGAGACAGTGAGTGAAATTTGTATTTACATCTACATCTTTCTATTCCCTTTTGTTTGGGGATCTTATTGGGTCAATTCTCCTTGAGTTGACTTTGATTTCTGGTAACTACATGAATATATTTATGGCATTCATACAGGCGTCATTTGTCAGTACTGTCTTCTGGGATATTTTTCTACTTTCCAGGCTATCTTCTGGCTTTGAAATTCCATTGTAGTCATTTATCTGTGTATTAAGGCTTATTTTCTGAACCCACATAAGGTAGGCCAGGTACCAATATCTAAGGCAGGCCTGTCAAACTGATAGCCCACAGGCCAGATACATCATTGCAAGCCAATGCAAATAGAAATTAAATGACAAAAGAAAATGAAAGTAATACCCTTAGTAATAGATGCCCTGGGTGCAGTCCCCAAACAACTGGCACACCACTTGAATACCACTGGCATTGACATCCCATTTCAGTCGCATTTGTAGATCATAGTTCAACCATATGTTAAAGACATAGCAATGCATCTTTAAAAACCATAATCAGTTTCCATCATAATTACAGTCCTTGTCAAAATATATCATTACTGTATTTTATTGAATGTATTTTTAGCATTAAGCATAACCTGGAGATGTATTACAGGGGCTTTTAAATATTTCAAATAAACAATCATCAAATAAATGAACAGACACATGATACTATGACTAAAATCCTTTAAATAATTATAGAATTATATAATCCATTAAATGAGAGCCAGTTTGGTATAGTGGTTAAGGCGTTATCCTAGAAACCAGAGATTGAGTTCTAGTCCGACTTTAGACATGAAAAACCAGATGGGTGACTTTGGGTCACTCACTGTCTCTCAGCCCAACTCACTTCACAGGGTTATTGCTATGGGGAAAATAAGACAAAAAGAGGTTTGGTATATTTGCCACCTTGAGTTGTATATAAAGAAAAGAACAGGATAAGCATCTAACATAAATACTAAAAGTTGAAAACCAACCCCAAACACAATTTGATAAACTAAAATACAATTTAAAAAAATACAACTCAGATTTTTAAAAGTTCATTTAATGTTTTATCAAAAAAAAAAGAAATTCTAAGACAGTCCTTCACTTTTAAGTGAGTAATAAAGCATATAATGAAAAGAAATAAAATAAAAAATGGTCATCTAGAATAATCCTGAGAAGGTATTCTATAATTGAACAATTCACACTGAACAAAGTCCCTGAAATGTATTTAGTTTTTATTAAGCTAATATTCTGCTTCTTAGATATATTGTCTAAGTATCTTTCCTAGTATCTTTCCTAGATGTCTATGTTCATCTGTCCTGTGGATCTCTTTTGGATCTCAATTCTTTCACATGAATATTCGAAACAGTTCTTAGAAATCAATCAAGAGATATTACTGTTAATCCCAAAGCATGTGTCAATTTAGATCACAATCAGACATGTGCATAATGACTTGGGGTGGCATGCTTTCTATCCCCATGCATACAATCCTTAATATAACCACAATCTCTGCACAATATATGTTATGAAAAGAGTTGCAGAATTCTATACTTTTGAGTAGGCCATATATGCCTTTAAAACCAACCAATTCATTCAGTGCAGAACATTACTGCCTATTTCTCTTGCAGCAAACCTAAAATCTCACTGCTAAATACATGGGTGCCTGAATCTGTGTTTATAATTTCAAAAAAATATTTGTGCAAAAGTATGCATATAACACTTTTAATTATACTCGTGTTAGCCTCACTAGGTAGATCAGACCATGAAATCAACTCCACAGGATGGTTAAAATTACTTTTATTGAGATTGGTTACTTTAACAGAACCTTGAAAATCTGATCTCATTCTTCTTACAGTTCAGTGAATTAGGGAGGTCCCTGTCTGAGGTGCTTCCCAATATTATCTGGATATTCTGGACTTTAAAAATGATTTGGCACCTGCAAATTTCTCTCAAGGTCATCTTCCTTATTTTCTACATCTATCATAACTTATGATATCAAATGCAAAAATCCTATCTACGCCTCTTTCTCATATTTATGAGGCTGCTTAGCTCAATATGAGGCATCATGTAAATTTAAAAACAAACCCAAGACAACAAAAGAAATAAAAAATAGGGAACTAATGTTCTCCAACACATTAATACAATGTCACTCAGGGGACATATATTCTACCTAACTCAAGACAAGGAATAAGCCAGGCCTTCAAGATCCATTTAAACGGCAGCAGTATTGATATTACTTGAACCTTGGGGAGGGCAGCCATACAATCCAGAGGACAGTAATATTGTGCTATGACAACCCATCAATAAGGCAATTTATATGGTTTATTAGTAAATATGACTTACCTAAAATCTTTTCCTGTTCTACTCTTCGTTCTCTGGCCAGTCGTTGTCTTTCATCAACTTTTAGTGCTGGTATACAATTAGTGAAAACAATGTAAGATTTAGGTTCCAAATATATTCATCTTATATGAGTGGCAGCTGTTCCTGAATTCTACAAAACCTACTTCTAAGCATCAATCCATAGTAATCTATTCTTAAGATGTCATATTAAAAAATGCTGGATTCTAAAACCAATACAGAATTTATTTCGTACAAAATAAAAGAGAGAGTATTGATTTAGCAACTTGTGAAGTCTCATTTTTCTCCACCATATTCAAGAGCATCTTATTAAAACCTTACACAACTATATATCTTCCCAGTATTAGTTGGGAACTTTGAATTACATTTTTGACACCTCTGGGAAGCAGAGGACTAGTTTAAATCATCATTATTTAGGATACCCATCATCATTTTAATCAGTTCCATAAATCAGCTAGAAAAATAAATACCCTGGAACATGTACATTTCTATATTATTGAAGAATTCTAGATTTCTCCCTGAAATCTTCAATACCTCCAAATATTAATAATCAAAAGTTATTGGATTGCTATCCCATATTTTTCCCTTTAATATTCTTTTTTTTTCTTGGGCAGAAAAATATGGTGGAAAAAATGAGAGATAATAATGGGAATATCTTACATCAGGGGTGTCAAACTCAAGGCCTAGGGGCCAGATCCGGCCCACAAGTGCTTAGATCTGGCCCACAGGGCTGCCCTGGAAACAGTGAAGGACCGGCCCACGGTGCCTCTGCCAGTGAAAACAGAGCTTGGGAGGGCTGTGGGCAGCCCTCCCAAGCTCT